TAAAAAAAAAAAAAATGAAAGTAACTGTTCTGTGTATCTTAGAGCTGAGCCTCTCCCGCTCAACAACACGACAGCAACAGCAAACACACAGAAGGAGTCGTCTGCGCCCCGGGCATCACTCTTAAGGCTGTCTGGGGACCAAGTCGTTCACTCCCACAGCTCTTTGAGACGGGGATCGTTTCGTCCTCGTGCGGCTAGAAGGGGTGAAGCTCGCGTTGCCATCTGTGTGTTTCGGTTCTAGAAAAGTCTGCAGTCTCGACGGGCATGCTCACGAGCCTCGGGGGACAGTCTCAGGATGGGACTGCGGCCCTGGCTGGGCAGAAAGTGGGTCAGTATGCAGAGACTGCTGCTGTTAGCAGCCCCCAGATTTTCCTTGGGGATGTGTCCCTCCCTAGCTCTCTGTCAGTGGGACTCGGGGGCCGCCGACCTTGTCTGGGCTCCGGGCGAGGCATGTGACCCAGCCTGTCCCATCCAAGCACTCCTCTCCGTGGCCAACCGGCCCGGCCCGGAGATGGGCATGCGCACATATTAGACCAGTCAGAGCCAGCGGGACTCGCCCCGGGGTCTTACTGGCTCTGTTGACATAGAGGCATCGTCTTTGCGTTGGGAGTGATGACGTGACAGGATGTGAGCGTGCACCTGCTGTCATCGTGTTTCTTTTCCAGCTGAACAACCTGAACAACGTATCACTTATGTACTCTAAAATTCGCTCCTCTGAGTATACAATTCAGTGATTTTCAGTAACTTCGCTAACATGCGACTGTCACTGTGACTCCAATCTTTAAGACATTTCTATGACGCAGAAAGACCTCTTGTCCCCCTTTGGAGCTAAGCCCCAATCCCACCCCAGCCTGCTTTGTCTCTGCGGATCGCTGACTGCCACCTCGGCATGCTGCAGGGAGGTCTTGTCTGAGACGGGAGGGGGGTGGAGGAAAGCGGGGTGAGCCACGGAGAGCCCCCGAGTCCTGTGACATTGTTTGAGCCCCTGGATCTAGCTAGACATTGTTGCATCTTTGCTCCTGAGGTTTGCGTTTATGAGAGACCGTACAAAACTGTTACCTGTAAAAGCGTGTGTGTGTGTGTGCGTGTACTCACACGCATGTGCCTGAATGCATCTGTGAACAAGTAATCTGTCTGTCTCGTGGAACTGGAAGTTTCCTGACTTCCACATCCCCAAATTACAAATTGTATTCCAGAGGGAAAGTGAGAGAGACTTTAAGACGGAAAGAATAAGAGAGAAGCTAAGTCGGTATCACGTTTGCTGCTCCTTTGCACACACACAAAATTTTTGAGTGCCTACTTATTAGTTTCTTATAATCCGTCTTTTACAAAAAGGAAAAAAAAACAAGGCTTACAAAGACGCTGACAAGACGGGAAGGATAAGTGAATGAAAATAACGACGGAGCAAAGAGGAGGTGGGGGCAGGGGAAGAGGCGGAAAGTCGAAGCTCGGTCAACAAAACGCGCTGGTGAAGGCTTATGAACAATTACTGAAGGCTGATGACAGTGGAACTCTGGGCTTTCTCGGACCCAAAACTGAGGGAGAACCGTGCTTTGTTTTTAATACGCGAGGGTGGTAAGTTTGCAAAACCAATTGGTTGCTGGATTTCTCTCTTGAGCCATTCTATAGTGCAATGAGCTAAGACAACTGTCGGGGCCATTTGACCCTGTCCGTGGGGGACACAGGGTTGGATGCCCATTGAAAGAGCAGGTGCTTTGTGTTATGTGCTAAGTACCGTGTGCTCGGCTCTAAGGGTGTTAGGATCCTCAGGAAGGCTTTCGGCCGCAGTACTATGGTGAGCCGCAAAGGTTTGTCATTATTTTTAATAACAAGGACTCTGGCAGGGGCGGGGGGGGGGCTTCCAGGTGTGGTTTGGCGACTCAGGTTTCCTCAGCAACCCAAGGTCTTTCCATCTTTCTGCTTGGTTTTTCTCAGATTTTTAGCTTCTTTCTTCAGGATCAAAAAGTGACTCGTGTCCCCTTAGGCGTCACATCCTTGGCCAAGAAAGGAAGAAGAGTGGGGTCAGTCCTCTCTGCTTTGTCGTATCTAGAAAGGAAATGCGTTGCCCATAAGCAGATATGCCCTTAACTATAAATGAGGGAAATTGGATCACCTCTACCTTCCAGGCAGGCTGGGAAATGGAGAAGCCTGTTCAAAGGGAATGGGATTGCGGGCCGGCAGGCCAGTTCTCACCACCTTGCTGAACTCAACACACTCAGTTTCACTTGGCAAGCAGGAAGGAGGGTAGGAAGCTAGCCATGTTTGCCAAAGGGTCAGTGATGAACACAGTTCCTGGGCAGACGGCTTCTCTCTCCCGTGCGTAAGACAGAGGGCCGCTTGGTGCGTCACACAGCAGAGAAGGTGGGCACCTGGCCCCACAGGGCATCAAAGACCCAAAGTTTGTTGACTCCTGAGCTAATCTTGAAGGATAAGTAAAGAGTCCCTTGAGAATGAGGGAGGGGAGATAGGACTCTGCAGGTAGAGGCATGAGTTAAGAAAGGAGATGTACATCTCTTCAGTGTTTTAAAAGACTCTCACGCGGGGCGCCTGGGTGGCGCAGTCGGTTAAGCGTCCGACTTCAGCCAGGTCACGATCTCGCGGTCCGGGAGTTCGAGCCCCGCGTCAGGCTCTGGGCTGACGGCTCAGAGCCTGGAGCCTGTTTCCGATTCTGTGTCTCCCTCTCTCTCTGCCCCTCGCCCGTTCATGCTCTGTCTCTCTCTGTCCCAAAAATAAATAAACGTTGAGAAAAAAAATATTAAAAAAAAAAGACTCTCACGCAGTTCTATATTAATGTATTGTATTACGAGACTCAGGGAGATGAGACCAGAAAGGCACCTGGGGAGGGGGTCGGGGTTGCCTGGCATGCTCCGCTTCCAGTGGGTTCCATTCCCGGAGCAACAGCCTGCATCCCGTGCTTTAATCAGCCAAGGGGTTGAACTTAACCTATGGGGCGGGTAAGACCATGGGCTCTGGAGTCTCAATTCCTAGGTTGAAATCCTGCTCTCCCCCACCGACCCTCTTTGTGCTTTATTTTTCTCGTCTCAAAAGGGGAAAATAAGAGTGATTACTTCCAGAGGGTTGTTGTGAGACATAGTGAGTGGGACAAAGAA